ATTACCTACTTAAAGTGATGCTAGGTTCTCTTATTACTGCCTGCCTGAATAATCTGAAGCACATTATTTGAATACAAAGTTCTCCTGTTGCATGTATGTTAATTTTCTCAACATTTTGGGATCATTCTTTGTACATTTTCCTCCAACTACGGTAGTTAGGGTAATATTGGCAAGATATCTCACATTGCCAAAATGTTTGCATCTTTGGATCTGCTGCTTTAGTGTCTTTTCAGATAGGTTTGTACCCACTGTGGTTGGCACAAGCAATTTTTAAAGTGTGTATATTCAATGTAGCTAAACTTTAGTATCTGCATGTACTTCCATATTTTGTTCAAAAGGTATCTGAGGAGCCTACACATCATTGCTACATGCAAACCTAAAATGCAAACCATTTTTCCCCTGTGTAATGCAAAGGCAAGTATTTCTGCTCATTAATTAATGACTTCCTTCCATCTCTCTCCTGTTGACACTATACAACAAAGAACTCTAGTCATGGAATCTCATTTCAGGAATGTATATAGGGGGATGCAGAAGCCTCTTTACCTGCAGTTACAAAGAAAAAAGGCAGAAATAATGGATGAGCAAAGGGAGAAACTCAATCAGCTATGCATAATTTTTTGCCCTGTCCACAAAATGAATGAAACCAGGATGGATACTGCAATGCTGAACATGACATTCAAAGCCTGGCGTTAAAGAATGCAGAAACTACCAGTTAAAATAATCATCCAAAGTGATAAGGGAACTCATTTTAAGGGAAAGGCAGGAAATGACTACTTCAGCGATTTATGGGCTTCGTCAGATTGGTTGACATAAAGTGAATAGGTGGGGCTTCCTGAAGAGAGTTTCCAGTTAAATATCAGGACCTTCTTCATTCTCCAAAAATTGACATCCTCTAAAAACGCCCAAATCTCTAGCATAGATTAGGCAGTTTGGAAACCAACACCATAAAAGCTATTGTTGAAATATATAAAATTAAGTAAGTAAGAGTAATTTAATATTGATTCAGATTGCCTCATAAACACGGAATATGTCATATACAATAGCCCATATATTGGGCTATTATGATGGACTGTAAGTATCACCTCATTCACATTAAAACTTTTCCCAGTGAAAAGAGTATGGAAGGTTGATGGTCCTGAATAAGCATGTTGAACCTGGAAAACTATTTGAGCAATTATTAATCGAGTATTCTTTATGATTATAACAGAAAGGAACTTTACAAGAAATGCATTATAAACCTAGAACTAGCTATCTACTTCTTACCAGACAGAGTCCCAAAGCAAACATTCTCCCTGTGTTTGTGTCTGTGTCTGCATGCTTTGAAGAAAGGAGTGGCTTCAGAATAGCAATCTCATACAATAAACCTGGCAGTGCTATAGACAAAGAGAAGGAAGGAGTAGATCCATAACTCTGTGTCATCATTCTACTGTCTCCATGTGTTCAGGAGGTACTAATGAGTCAGCACCATTGGATTAGGAACTCCAACAATGGACAGAAGATGGTTCAATCTTCTTTCCTTTACCCTTTTGCTACTTCTATAAATGCACAATGATAATTTAATTCCACTAAAATCACTTTAATTCTATTCCCACTTATTTTAGCATATGAATTCCTGAATTCATATAGAAGGTTGCCTTTCAGCCATGACATACTATGCAAGTTAACCCATAATTAAGACCAGGTATTTGGGTTTATGGGACAGAGAGGGGAGGGGAGGTTGAATAAAAATAGGCATCAGGCCTTTGAATAGATAGGATAACCATAATTATGCAATCTAGTTAACAATGTAATTGTTATATTCTAATCTAAGTATAATTTCCAGATTTTCTGTATAGGCATCTCCCTATACAAATCTGGCAGGGAAAAATTTAGTCCTGCTGTTGTCCAAGAAATAGTGATACGTGACAATTATCCATTAGAGTCAGCAAATAAATGAATATATTCATTTGCTATACCTGAGCAACTGCTTGCTGCATCTTGCAGGACCAGATTATCCTTCAAAACTTCCTCTTTCCTTAAAGACCTGGCTCCTTTAAGTCATATTTCTAAAATTGTCTGCTGACAGGGTGTCACAGTGGGTGGGTATGGTGGTGGTGGTCTTGATTTATTTTTCTAGGTCAGTGAGATTCAGTCTCAATCCACCTTATAAAACATTATTGGGAGCTTTAATACGTTAATGTAATCCTTACTTCTTACATGAAATAGTCTTTGGAAGTATTATTTGCTACAATTCTATTTTTATTATTAACCTGTATCAATAACAGTTAATTTTCTAATTGTGCTGTTGTCTGATGAACATATCTTTGGATCAACTCAGAGGAATCAATTTGCTTCTCAACACCAATTTTCTTTATTAATCTCTTGAACTGGAAAAGCCATAAATTCAAAGATATAATTAGCTCTTACCACATTTTTGCTGCAGAGGAAATAACCCTTTTGCCATGATTGACTGATAAAACAATGTCAAAGCCAAAGAAAATAGCAACATTTCAATTGTGCTTTGTTATAAAACAATATGTATTTACACATTTTTATTAAGAAATCCACAGGCACTTTTAGGGAGGTAAGATTGTGCACAGTGTAACGAAGAATTGGCTGGATTTACTTCATGTTCTGTCCCTCCCTTCTCCCACATAGTTGGTCCATTGTGAATATTTTGAACTGTTTTTAAATAACTGCCAAGAAATGCATGCAGGGATTGGTTTGAGGTGTAAATGTTCCAAAAATATAAATCCTGTTTTGACTCAACACTAAAATACAGTGTATTTTGCATTAGCATTTAGTTATAAACTCTGGTATCATATGTACAAAGTAGGAAAAGTAATTAAAAAAAATCTCACTCTAAACAGGCATCACCACAGCTGGTTTGTTGTTTTAAACTAGTTTCAGTGATGCCCATTTAACAAGAAACAATATCTCCCCTGTGGATACGTGGATGTAGGGGAGCTTTTAGATCTATTTCTGTTGTCTGAGATCAGAAGATTGTTAAAGATCTAGAACAGGGGTGTCAAAATCAAGGCCCCAGGGCCAGCCCAGAAATAGCAAAGGACCAGCCTGAGGTACTGCTGTTAGCGAAAATGGACCGCACCCTGTTTTGGCCTGCAGGGTGCTGCAGGAGGCTGTCCAGGCAGAAAACAAGCCATGTGGGGGCTGCCTGTGGTCTCCCTGTGGCCTGTGTTGCCCAGCAGGGTGCTGCAGGAGGCCGTTCAGACTGAAAATGGTGCACATGGGGGCCACTCATGCCCTCACATCCCATTTTGGCCAGCAGGGTGCTGCAGGAGATCATCCAGGCCAAAAACAGTGCACACAGGGACCACTTGTGCCTCCCACACTCTAGTCAATGGATGTGAAAAATCTGTGATCCAACTATAATGGTGATTAATAAGGCAACCTGTTTAAGGTCACTGACCAGAGTAAATTATTGCATTTTTCTTCTGAATTTTCAGCTTATTCTATATTGCTTTAAATATAGCCAAAGGTCAATCTGGCTCAAAAACTCAGAAAAAGTTTTGGCTTCACCAAGGCACAGGAATGCTTTTGAACTAGAAATGTCTTTATGAATCCTGCCATCATGAAAACTGGTATTTATGCTGCAAACTGAGCAAAACATCTTCATTCTGGGTTAATAAAATTTAAGTCCATTCTTAATGCTGATACAGACAAAATATTTGAAACTAGTTTTTCTGCCTAATACAGTACATGCCAAGATTAGAAAAATAAAGCAACCACATTTCTGAAATAACAGGATGAAGATGATTCCCCATACTGTATTTTCATCTGGATTGTTACAATAACTTTCCAAAACTAAGTAATTATAATTAAATAATCCAATTTTGGCTTTTTTTTCCAGCTAGCACAATTATATTTTGTTAATGGCTATTTAGTTGGGTCTTTCATCTACCTTCAACTTGCAATGGTTCTGCAAATTTGAAAAAATATTTGGAAGAGGTCTTAAGAATCGTCTAAATATATTTTAAGTGTATTATTTTTAAAATGCATTAAGTCTTCAGATAACAGATAACAGATAATCAGAGTTGGAAGGGACCTTGTAAGTCATCTAGTCCAACCACCTGCCCAAGCAGGAGACCCTACACCATTTCTGACAAATGGCAGTCCAATCTCTTCTTGAAAGTCTCAACTGATGGCACTCCCACAACTTCCGAGGGCAAGCTGTTCCATTGGTTGATTGTTCTGTCAGAAAGTTTCTCCTTAGTTCCAGGTTAAATCTCTCCTTGTTCAGTTTCCATCCATTATTCCTTGTCTGGCCTTTGGGTGCTTTGGAAAATAGCTTGACCCCCTCCTCCCTGTGGCAGCCCCTCAAATATTGGAAGACCACTATCATGTCTCCCCTGATCCTTCTCTTTACTAGACTAGCCAAGCCCAGTTCCTGCAACTGTTCATTGTATGTTTTAGCCTCCTGTCCCCTAATCATCCTGGTTGCTCTTCTCTGTACTTTTTCTAGAGTCTCAACATTTTTTTTATAATGTGGTGACCAAAACTGGATGCAGTACTCTAGGTGTGGTCTTACTAAGTCTTTATAGAGTGGTATTAGTACTTTCCTTGATCTTGATTGTATCCCTCTGTTAATACAATTTAGGATTGCATTAGCTTTTTTGGCTGCAGCTGCACACTGCTGGCTCATATTTAGCTGGTTGTCCACTAAGACTCTTCACTCTTCACAAAGTGCTTTCTCCAAGCCACATGTGTGCACAAAGTTTTGATTTAGATATAATTTAATTTTAATTTTTAATTAATTTTTAATGATTAATTTTTATGAGACGTTTGTAATAATTTTTTCTATACCAATCTTGTAGTGCAAACACAACATAAAGAAATTTCAAAGAGACCTTTACATAGTAATATGTTTCTCTGTATTCAGTGGCATTTATTCTCCAATAAATATGCTTATTTTCTTATTCAAATATTATCCAACAAATTTCAATTCATCAGGTAGGTTTACATAAACAATTAATTACAAATATATATTTGTTTTCATACAGACGAGGATCCAACGTCTCACTCACCTTAGATATGAGCAGCTTAGGATGTGTTGAACCTTTAATAGCTGTGCCCACCCCAAGGGAAAAAGTAGCAATGGAGTATCTACAATCAGCTAGCAGAATGTTGACCAAAGAGCAATTAAAAGATATAGTTGCAAGTTCTCATTTACTTCAGACAGAATTCATGGTAAGTCTGTAATACTGCTTTTTTGTTTTAAAACTAAAAACTTGTAACTTTCTGTGGTCTCCAGAATGATATATCTCTGGCATTTGTATACCTCTGGCACTCACCACCCTTGCTTGAGTTAGGGCAATAGCAGGGCTGGAAATGCCCAACCAGTCTTCTAAAATTGTGCTGCTTCAGTATACATATAAAAAAGTAAAATATTTAAGGATTTGGAATAAAGATGTCCTAGCATTATTTCATGATTTTACTAAAACATAATAAATAGCTGCTGAATTCTATTCCTTGTTATAAGACAGGATTTTCCATGTAGATCTTCAATTAACTGTAGGTCTACATAGCATTGCTAATACAACAAGCAAAGATAAGGAGATTCCAGAAAGATGGTTTAAGCACAGCCTTGGATAAGGTTAAGCAAGCACTCACTGATTTATCTGATTTGCAATTAAAATAAAACAAAACAAATGTAATGATCAAACATAAGTCAAACTATGACTCAGGCTTCCCAATGAAAATTGACTAGGGTGGAACTTATATTCTGAGATTTTTGGAAAGGAAGCTTGAAGTTGAACAGTGGCCAGTAAAAAGTCAACACCATATCAAATTCTGTACCTGTCAACAGTGGTGTCCCCCAAGGCAGTGTTCTAGGACCAACTCTTTTCATACTCTACATAAATGACCTCTGTGATCATATCAAGAGCAACTGCGTTCTCTTCGCTGATGATGTAAAGCTATTCAACACCACAGACAATACTGTTACCCTTCAAAAAGACCTTGACTATGTATCAGAATGGTCAAACAAATGGCAACTTCAAATCTCAACAAATAAATGCTCTGTCCTACATATTGGCAAAAATATTCAGAAAATAAAATACAGGCTGAATAATCAAGACCTTGTTGATGATCCAAACTCTGTCAAGGATCTTGGAGTACTCATCTCAAATGACCTAAGTGCTAGAGCCCACTGTAACTACATAGCCAAAAGGGGGTTAAGAGTTGTTAACCTAATCTTACATAGCTTTTTCTGTGGTAATATTACACTAATAACTAGAACATACAAAACATTTGCTAGACCAATACTTGAATACAGCTCATCAGTCTGGAACCCACATTACATATCTGATATTAACACAGTTGAGAAAGTCCAGAAATATTTCACAAAAAGAGTTCTCCACTCCTACTCATTGCAGAATACCTTATGCCACCAGACTGGAAATTCTAGACCTAGAAAACCTAGAACTATGCTGCCTTCAGTCCGATTTAAGTATAGTATATAAAATCATACATTGCAATGTCCTACCTGTCAATGAATACTTCAGCTTCAACCATAACAACACTAGAGCAAACAATAGATACAAACTCAAGGTTAATTGCACCAAACTTGATTGCAGGAAATACAACTTCAGCAACAGAGTGGTCAATGCCTGGAATACTCTACCTGACTCTGGTTTCTTCTCCAAACCCCAAAAACTTTAACCTTAGACTGTCTACTATTGACCTCACCCCTTTCCAAAGAGATCTGTAGGGGGCGTGCATAAGCGCACCAACGTGCCTACCGTCCCTGTCCTATTGTTTCTTTTATATATTTTTTTATTTTTCTTATATGTATCCATGTATTCATAACTATGTTTTTACTTATACCTATTATCTTGTAAGCAATTGACAAATAAAAATAAATAAAATAAAATAAAATAAAATAAAATAAAATGTGTATGTATGCGGTTTTATATGTATTATTTATTCTGTTTAACTTTGCAGGCTCCCTAGAATCATTTGATGACTATAAATCTAAATTTATAAATTAATAAATGAGCTATCCCATACTCTTTCTGCTTTTTAACTTAAAATCTCTAAACAGATTATTACTTTAAAATAATTCTGTGACTTTGTGATAAACCTTCCTACAAGCTGCAATAAATCACTGTTAACATTGATACTAAGAATTGCTCTTAATTTTAAAAAATGGGTTTGTTTTTTCTCTTTAGGAAATTCCCATGAATTTTGTCAATCCTAAAGAAATAGACATCCCTAGTCATGGAACCAAAAATCGTTATAAAACCATTCTTCCAAGTAAGTTGGTTTAAAGTGATATTTTTATCAGTTCATTCTCCCTTTTCCTATTATCAGCTTTTTAATTATTAATTTATAGGTGCTCTTGAATTAAAGCAATCTGTGATGATTGCAAAACGATTTGTGAAATAAGGATTTTTTAATATGCATTATTGTTGTTGCTATCACAATCCTAGTTGATGAACTGCATTTAACTTCTTAAGACCAACTTTTATAGATGCGTTGAGTTGCATGGAAAACTAAATAAGCATTTATCCTACCATAAACTTTATTATTGTACATTACTGTTGGAAACATCTATTAAAATAGTTTGTTCATATCAATAAAGCTTAAGTATTTTCAAATTTTCTACTTTTCTATCAAAGTATGTTTCTTCAAAAATCTGATTTTGCTATATGCTAAGGAGCCACAAGATTAACTCTGATTAAGTAGCAATGGGGAGAAAGGAAAAATAGAATAAACTGAAAAGCAGACTACAGTTCACTCCAGTAAAGAGCCATAATTGTACTGAGTACCTAAGCAGTTATGATTACAAATGTGGACTCTATCAAAATGTGTATCCTTTGTTTGCAATCATACCCACTGCTAGGAAAGTTAGTACAGTAATGAATCTGGCAGGAGATGGGCCCAGCTTTCCCTTCCCTTTAATTGATGTATTTTACTCAATCAACAGCAGTAAAGCTGAAACTCAGGTTTCTATAGTTCAGAGATAATTAAAAAAAAATAACCATCTATGTTGCAGAAAAATAGGATTAATATTTGTAATACAATGAGGTGCATTCCTACACCAAATGGAGTACCACTGAGTATGGTCATATAAGTACAATAATCAGGATACTCTTTAAATTGGATGGGATTTATTCAGTCTCAGCAGTAGAAATTCAACAGCAGTCCCTCCAAAAGCAAGTAGTGGACTTTCTGAAGGATACTAAATGGAGGAGGCAAAATTGATCCCTCCCAGTGTCACAATAAGAGAGGTAAACACAAACCTCTGACAAACTTATCTGACAATAGGAGACTGGGAATTACATTTCTGTCTTAAAACTAGGTTTTAATTTCTGGATAGCTATTTTAGATGTTCTCAGAAGGAAATAATGTATATTCTCCCTTCATAATTTCAAGTCTTCAAACATAATATTGAAAAAAAAGTGGGGTATCTATCCTTGCGCATAGAGAACATGCATATGGGAAATAGGTTCCCCTCCCCTTTTCCTTTGCACAAAATTCAAAAGCAGACAGAAGACAGCATGAATCCTTCATGTATCTGTTTCACAGCTTTTCTGGAATATTTGGAAGAATTTGTAACACCCCTTCATACCTATAGCTGTCAATATCATTGCATAAATCATCATGCTTCTTTAAAAAATCCTTATGCTTTTATGACATTTCCCTTTACTACTTTAGGTTTTCATTTCCATTTCCACCTGTGTTGTCTTTACAGATCCTGTAAGCAGGGTATATTTGAAACCAAGGAACCCAGTGAATGCTTTGAGCACCTACATAAATGCTAACTACATCAGAGTAAGTACACTGATGTGCAGTGTGCTGACTTGCTGACATATATTTCATTTTCATGCTTCCCATTCAGTTCTTCTCTTATCAAAACACCTAACTTAGTACTCTGCCACAAACTTCCACTGCCTTTTACTGTTGACGGTAGACTATGTATATACTGTATAAAAATGAGCAATCATTCCATAAAATATTGTCCCAAAGTCTTTTGGCCTTTTAATTAAAGCATTGTACAAGATACGTTAATTCTATTCTTGTTGCTTCTCAGCTTATTATAATCACAAATTAATATGACTGTTCCATCTTTGTTTAAATTAGGGTTATGCTGGCAAGGAGAAGGCTTTCATTGCAACTCAGGGTCCTATGATTAATACTGTGAATGATTTCTGGCTAATGGTATGGCAAGAAGACAGTCCTGTTATTGTTATGATCACAAAGCTGAAGGAGAAAAATGAAGTAAGACTTTTTACCTTAATCAGTCATGGACACTTTGTCTAGTTCTTTAAAAAAAAAAAAAACCAACCCAGCTAATACTACTATCAAATATTCAAGACTTTTTAAAAAATGTCATAGAACTCTATTAAAACACCTTAACTAATTTAATGTGGATAACATTATCAAAGTTGTCTATACAATATGTTCAAAACATTTATTTAAAAAAATACACATTACTTTTCAGATTTGAATGGTAACATAAGAAATAATTTTGTTCTGAGTCAATTTCAATTCAGAATAGAGCTGGAAGGGTCTTCTATCCAATGCCTTGCTCAAGCAGGAGAATCTATACCATTTCAGACACGCAGCTGTCTAATCTCTTCTTTAAAAACCTCCAGTGAAGTACCCACCACTTCTGAAGGCAAAGCTGTTTCTCTGTATGAATTGTCTCCTTATCTAAGAAACTTATCTAAGATTCTCCTGTCATGCTATGAAAATCCTATTCATCAATAATTACTCAATGTATAATAACAGGTCTAACCATTTACAACCATAAAATGCTGCACTGTATCAAATGCAGCCATCAGTCTATCTCGTACAATAGTCTTAGCTGTGACTGTGATTTCCCAGCATTACACAAAGTTCTCCAGCTCTTTCTGAATATGTTTAGGATAGAACCTGATTAAATCTGTATTTAATATGGAAGCTCTGATGCCCTAAGGATATTTAGAAGTTTGCTGCATCCTTTAACTGAAATGATCTATTTATCAGAAATTAGTTGAGTCCTGCTTTGAAATAATAGTTTATTTTTTTGTTTAACTCTTTTATTGACATAAATATTGGGTTCTAACAGGGAAAAATGTGTAGACAGTTATCTATAAAGGAGTATCATAACATATGTGTATCTCAAAACATATAACAGAATAATTTCTAAAGAAATATGCCTTATCAGGACTGATCAAAATACTTCTGAAAACCTATCCTATTATACAGTAATATGGTACACAGAACAAACATTTTCCCCAAAGGAAAAACTTTTTGTAAAAAACACTTCTAACACTGTTTGAAAAGAATGACTTGAAAGAAACATAAAGTAATTCTCAACATATCAGGAAGCCCTGTGTTTACCTGAATTGCTCCCACTTGTTACAATACTGTTTCTCTACATTGTCCTAGACTGACGGAGGCAATTTCCGCATAATTAAAAAGACTGAGACTTCTTAAGGAAATCCCAGGCTACATGGACATTTGTGTTTATATGAGCTTTTCATATTTGATCAAATCATTATAATGGTTTATACGGCAGAAATTTTCTTCTTCTGTTACCCGATTTGTTTTGAGAAACAGAAGTTTACCCAATAAAGAGGGCAGTAAATACTTACAAGAACTATGACATCCAAACACTATAAAAGCATAGGCAAACATAAATATCCAATGGTCACTCTATTTTAAATAAACACTTTTTATAGCCTACTGAAATATCCCAATAAGTCATATTTTTGACTTTACAATGTGTTTATCAAACCAGAAGTGGTTTTTATATAGCTGTGCTAGTGTGGAGAACCTTTCATACATTTTCTCTTAATCATCCTGCAAGGAAAATAGGAATGCTTTTAATGACATTAGATTAGAACTACCTTCAAAGCATTTAGGGGTGGGTATTTCTTCTGCAACCTGGCATAACTAAGGAAGAAAATTAGCAGTCTGTAGAAAATAACCAGATTTGCTTACTCTGTCCATTACAGACCCAGTATAAATTGGTTTCCCTCTTCTCTTACCACAAAAATCAAGAAGGTATATCTGTGTGATCTTTCCAATCATATTCAGGCACTGGAAGATGCTTAAATGTTCCCATATCTTGGAATAGGGTTCAGAAAATCATCATTGATTATTCTCTTAACAATTCTCTACTTTCTCTTCCATCACATTCCTCCACTCACTGCAAAAATCTATTTTATTAGCTAGCCAGGACAACAAGGGGAATCAGGATGTCATATTATGATCCAAACAAAAGCTAACAAATTCTCACAGGGAGGAAAGGTTCCTATAACAGCCAGTTCAGAGAAAAATGTTATAGCATAGTATATGCATGTATAGTGTGCCCCTATCTCTCCAGCTACTTGTTATTCCTTCCTTCATTAATTGCAGTATATCGTTAGAATCTGGATCTGACAAAATGTTACAAAGGAGGGTGTTCTTCCCAGCCAGTATTCCATGGTATTGTCTTCATTGGACTATCTTGGATTTTTTTTATATAGTTTTAATTTCTGTGAATGCTGGGAATCAACTCTATTACCTGAAGTAGTAACATTATATTAGTAGCCATAATAACTTTTCCCTCCATGGAAAAGTTAATCCCCTCTTAAACCATGACATCAAAAAAGAGGACATGATTAGAGTTCATTGCCATGAGGGGACAGCACATTTACATTGTTATACAAGCTGTATACTTACTACTTTACACTGTAGTCAAGTGTCATTTCTTCAGTGTTGTCACATGAAAAGGTATACTTAAATATTTACAAAATGTGAGGGGGTGTACTCACTTCTGTGAGATACTGTATAGCCTTGGGAAAGATTGAGTACTGATAATAAAGCTAAGATTCTGGAATATTCTTCTCCCTATGCCTTCATGATAGTAACTCAAATTATCAATGGCAGAAGATCAACTGGTATGTTGTTTAAGAATAGCAATATTCTTGTAGTAATCTGAGGGTTTTTGGTCACATGTATTACAGCAGACTGGAACAAGATTCAGTTTACTAATAACTTTTGTTTCCAACTGAATCTCAATATTTTTGGGGCAGTTTTGATCAATGAAGTTTGGCTCTTTTCCATTTTTCTTTAGGACTTGTGTTGCTCTGCCAAATTTCACAAGAACACATGACCTATCATTTGCACATTCTATTCAATATATTATACATCCACTGCTTCTCCTCTAACCTTTACTCATGGATACATTGCTACTTTATTGAAACCCTGCAGATAGATCAGTTATGTACCCCAGGGATGCCTCTCAATGGGTTACTAAATTATCACTTCCAATAACTCCAATCAACATGGCTCACAGTAACAACTATTAGGGGTTGGTTATAATATTTGGAATGTCACAACTTCCCATGGTACAAATATTGTGTAAGGCTCCAAAAATCCACTTATTACACTCTTTCCTTTACAACTGATGGCTTCTTTTTTTCCATCCAACCTAATAATATCACAATATACTTCTAGCAGTTTGCAACAACATTATTTAATTAAGGTTTTGGGTGTTGCTGGATTATTATATTTATAGACTTTATAGTTCTTAATTGATTTAATATTTAGAGTCTAATAAAACACAGTTGGAAACTTTAAATATTTCACATTGATTATGCAATCCTGGGGTCACAGCTGAACTATCTGCTATCAACTGTATAATTCAGCAATTAAATTCAAAAAGGGACATTTTCTGTAAAGTCCATTTGCATATTTAGCCATATTTTAATGAGGGTTTTAGCCATTTCAATGTGTCCAAGAGATTGCTGGTTTAATTTTGTGTTTGATTTATTCCAGGCAATCCACATGTACCAAAGTTGCATTACAACTCCATGTTCAAACTAGTGAGGCTTTAATGCTAAGTTTAGACAGTATTTTAAAAAATAGCTATTAACCAGTAACATGTACATTAAAAGTCACATTGCAAATCAAATGTTTTTATAATCAGAGTAAAATGAAATTTAGTGAAAAGAAAAAAAACCAAATCATCATATTTTACATTATATATATTTTATCTCTTGTGTCTAATCAGTAGTTACAATGTTGACTCTTGCAGTGAAGATGGCTTACATTTTTCTTTTATGTAGAACAACAATATAAACATAAAAGTAATAATGATAATTTCTGGAATTACAACTCCTGTTTCTGTGCAATTATGAAAATTTTGTATCAATTGTATACTGTATTGATTGTGGTTAATATTTTCTGACCTCCACATATGCTTACCAAACAGTGTGACTAACATCTAAATTATTGCAGAAAATATGAAAACTCATAAAATATACAATATTGCAAACTGGTACATATGAATTTGAATTCTAGATTTGCATCTAAATGTGATTTGTCTGTCTTGAATTAACTGGTTTCATGATACAGCACCAATGATTTGCTTGTAACTGTTTGCTAATTTTACGTTGCATATTAGCAGATATAATGACATTTGCATCTGAGGTTTACAAACTGCCCTTCATTCCCTCTTCAGTGCCAAGTGGATCTTGCTAGAATACTAGCAGTAATGTGTTAAAAATAAATCTAACGGGCCATTTTAAAAGTTAGAAGCAGCTGTGAGATAGGTAGTCTAAATGAACAATATATTTCATTGTCCACCCAAAGCTGTCTGCCAGTTATATGTCTGGGAACAAGATAAGAATAACATTTCTTTAGCTTTTAAGGAGTTGAATATAGCTGATGTATTATCAAGAAATCACAGAAGGATGTTGAATAGGCAGCAATATTTTATGTTGGTTTTCTTAATGTTGGCAAGAACACATCTTCCCAGGGAGGGGAAAGCATATATGATGGCTTTTTGTATCATTATTAGTATTTCCATGTAATTAAGGAACCCCTGGGTCACATGGGCTTGTAGCTTGAATACAAGCTTAAAAGGTGGGCAGTGTTTTGACTGTGTTAGTAGCAGGACTCTTTGATTTCCAGAGGGCAGTTCCAACTTTCTCTTTGAATGGACTCTCTTACGTTAGTCAGTGTAATTTGATGTTACAAAGTAGATGGTCATCACATAAATGCTGAATATCTACCAGGTAAAGAAATTGGTGGGTTTTGTTTTTTTACAAAAGTCACAAACATTGATTGTTCAAAAGTAATATCATGATTAGTTATTGTAAAATATTTTTTTCCTTTGCTTAACTTCCTTTGCTTGATGGGCTATCTTGTAAGACTTTAAGTAATAGGGTTGTGGTGGTTGTTTCCAATTGCTTTATTCCACATATTGGTGTACAACAATTTCATTACTTTTTGATAATGATAAGTACAGCCATTTAGCTTCTAAAAAGAATGGATATATGAATAACATTAGGTATATATTATAATTTTCATTTAATTTAATTGAACAATGAATAATAGTATGTAGATTATTTCTCTTTCTTTGTCCAAGAATCTGCTCTGCTATTACATGATCCTTGTTTGGAGTAGAGGCTTTTCTATTTTTAGAATTTTATTTAAATTGGAATTCAAGACTTTTTGCAATCAAGATGTAGCTACTGCATATAACCAGTTATGTCCAATTAATGGCACAGATTTATTTAACATTGTTAAGTATGGATCCAACTCACTGTACATTTAAAATTGAAAATAATTTTAATACATTTCACAGTTGGGGGAAAAAAGCATAGTATTGATGTTTGTGAAATTAATATGTCTTAAGCTGTTGCCAGATATAAAAATAAAACATAATTAAAACTTGTGAATGTACATATATTTAGCCTTTTGTTTTTAATTTTTAAAACATGATGTTCCTATAAGATTTCTTAACCTCTAGATTGGTTATAGGTAGATAAAAAAAACATCAAAGTATAAAATAAAATATGTAGTTATTAAATGTAAGCCTTCAAAATTCCTATTAATTAGTAACAGCCAATCATTATCATTAAGGTCTGTGAGAGAAACACTCTGAGAGTTGCTTAATCATAATTCTGGTTATTTATGGTTGTTCTTTTTAATTCGTTGAGAGGAAAATCTTAGCAATTCTTCTTGAAAGCTTATAGGGCTCCTGAGTGATCCAGGCATTGAATTCCAGAGAATGGAGTTATTAAGAAGGCCTAACTGTATTTAATTCATCATTTAAGCTGTTATCTTACTGCTAATGATCAATTGTACATGGGTTTGACCATAAACACACTGCTTTCTTTATTTAAAAAACCATTTAAAAGAAGCAATAATTTAATTCAATTTTTAAAAATGTTAAATTGGAATGCTGAAATGAACTGTTCTAGGTATCTTGGAACAAAAAATCTCCACAAAGTAACTTTATATTGCAGTTTTATTAATACAAATATTTATATGCCAATCTATACATGTTATTAGGGAAGCTTACAAGATATGCAAACAGGTTTTATGTCAATTTATGTTCTTAGCAATTTACCACGTGAAATTCGAGAAATATTAATGACAGCTACAATGTCTGTCATAAAATTTGTAACAATTACTACTTTCAAGAAAAAATAAATTTCATTTATTATTTTATTTGATCAAGCATTATTTAATCCTTGTTTCTAGAAATGTGTACTGTATTGGCCAGAGAAGAGAGGAATATATGGAAAAGTGGAAGTACTTGTTGACAATGTGCAGGAATGTGAAAATTACACTATCCGCAATCTAACATTAAAGGTACTGGCTTTTTTATGTTGTTGTGTTTCAAACCACTATATGTAGTTATTAGTTCACACCACCTATAGTACTGAACTAAATACGACTTTAATAGTTAACTGGTTCGAAGAAAATATCTTACACAAGAATATATAAAAATTATATTCAGCTGCTGATAGTCCAGTCCTATGCATTAACACACTTGCTTAATATGGCAGCATAATATAATATTGTAGAACTATAAGGTATATATAGTATCCTAAATTATAAAATTGTCTGTCTTTCTTAACTAAATTCCTTCCAAATGGTAGCCTGTTAATTATGAATTAGGATAATTACAGTGTATGCCTAGAAGGTAGTTTGAGAAAGGTTATGTATCTATAATAAAATAGTTTTCTGTTTTCTACATGATAATAACATTTCTGAGATGTTTGGTCTTTATCCCTACATTAATCTACCAAGTTGGGTGGATCACAATTTAATAGCAGATTTTATTTGGCTTATCATGCTCTTTGATTCAGATGATAGCCAGGTACCAATAAAAATATCCTGCACATGCAGAATTTTCATTGCCAACCATAGAAGCCTGTCCACCATTTGAGTTCCAAAGAAATAGTTGCTTACCAATAGAAGACAACATTTATAACTCAGGATTGAAACTGTGGACTCTTTGGTGCTCTCTGAGTTTGGTTGTTTTCTTGCAGATGTTTCATTACCAAACCAGATAATATGATCAGTGATAGCAGTGATGATATCATCTAGTTTGGTAATGAAACATCTGCAAGAAAGCAACCAAGCCACAGAGAGCACCAAGGACTCCGAAGTATTTGCTTTGCTGACTGCAGAAACACATTGTACCTCATTTTCAGTCACCAGTGTTGTTAAAGAAATATGTATATCATTCATCGTTTTCAGCAAGGAAACCTGTCAAGGAATGTCAAACATTACTGGTACACTTCCTGGCCAGATCACAAAACTCCAGTCAGTGCTCAACCTCTTTTACAACTCATGCTTGATGTAGAAGAGGACAAGAAGGCTTCAACTGATAGAGGTCCTATAATTGTTCATTGCAGGTAATTTTTACCTTAAATATGATTTTAAATTTAGATTTTAATGGAGCACAATGGGAAAAATATGAATCAAAAATTGGTTTTTACAATGTTGATAGTACATATCAAAAAAGTAGAAAGCTGGTTCATTTACACTATAAGAAGCTTTTTATTTAACTCAGTTCAGTCCATGTGAGAAATATCTTTCCAAGCTTCTGGCAAGAATCTTTCTCAGCCTAACCTGGATTTAGTGGTAATTAATACTGGTCCTTTTTTCATGCAGAGTTTATAGTCTACCTATATTCTATAATTATCTAAAAGACAAAAATCCTTCTTCTTATTATATGACTTCTTCAATTCAGGCATGTCCCCTATCTGCTGCCCAAAACAGATTTGGTGCTCAGTAGTAGCCTTCTAGCAAAGTGCATAAGCCACACATTTTGCTTGGCCTGTTCCAGTGTGATCCACTTACCAATCCTTAAATGTAGGAACAGCTGACACTGTCCTCGTCCTCCTTGCAGCCCACCAGAAATGCATCCTCTGCCCGTGTTGCCCAGCTTCCGTTCAAAACTACTATTTTCATACCTGAACTGTCACACATTCTCTCCAGCATTTTGTTCTGATACAGTAACAGCTACAACTGTGAGGGCTTGGCATATTCCCTCTCTGTAGTGTCTGATCACTTCCCTAGCTTGCAGATCTGCTATGTTCTCTGCGTTTTTATAATTTTGCAATTGATCCAAAAATGGCCTATTAAGTCAATGAACTGTGCCAAACCCTGGAGAATTATGCTCCATTCAACTCTAACATCTTCCAGTGGACACCCTGTTGTTTAATGCCTAGTCTGAACAAGACATGGTCCCTAACTTTCCCACACCCTGTCTACAATGTTGGAAAGCTTCCTTTCACTTCCCTTTATCTGTTTATACATCTATTTACAACTGCAAGATAGAAAGATTAAAGTTTGTTTTTAATAAAGCTGAGTTATCATTTCTTCCTTGTTACAAAGTTTCCATGGCTCTGCACAGTAAGGTAGGAACCAAATAGCAACCTGTTCCCCTTATGCTTTGATTACTGTAGCATGAGAGTACATGTAGTGCTCAACTTACCACAACTGAACCAAAATTTATGTTGTTAAATGAAACATTTGTTAAGTGAGCAGGGTTTTTTTAAGAAACAGACAGGAAAAAAGAGCAGCATGGGGAAAAAGCAGTTAGACTGCAGTGTGGAATTGCCCAAAGTCTCGCCTTTTGATAATCTCACATCTGATCTTAATTTACAACAAACAATGGTTGACATCAATCTTGCATCCAAAGCAGATAGTAATCCAGAACTCTTCTTCAGTGGATGATATTATTTTTAGAAAACATATGGTACATTGAATTTTCCTTCGACCACAATTTTAGTAAGATCTCAGGTTATAACTTTTGATAATCATTTACAATGTGAATCATACTATGTGTTGAACTGAAAATACCTATTTTCTCACCCAGTGTGAGGGGAGCTTGAATTTAATAGCAGCTCACAGAATATATTTCCCCTTTATCTCATCTTCTACAATGTGAAATTTTAAAATATTAGAAAAATTGCAGTTGCAGGAGTTTATCATACTGTGGCAGGAAATGTACATATTTGTATCATGATCTCAATTGTACAAAGAAAAAGGAAAAATACAAAAGTGTCTGGAAAACTAAGAAGTTAATCTAAGAATATGCATTTTAATTCTCTCAGAGTTAAAGAACATAGACACATCTTGTTTTTGCAATATAATATAAGAATCTAGATATTCTAGAAGTTTATGGAGCTGAAAGTTGCTGAATTTTTAAGAAGAGGTTAAACATCATCTGCATCTACCTAATCATATATTTTTTCATGGAACAGAAATCAAAAGTTTCAGCTAATCTACATTTGTTAAATTGCTAAGGTACTAAACAAATTTAAATTTCTATGCTGTCCAGAGTTACCTTATAGGAGAGATAGGCAGCGTAGAAATGTAATACATAAATAAATAAAAGTAAACAAATGTAGTTCTGCTGAGAAAGTAAAATGGTTATCTGAGATTATCCCTTGAGTAAATTAGGAACAAAGCCATTCTCTGTCTTCTATGGAGAATATTTCAAACCTTAAATAACCTGTGATACCAGTCATAATCTGTCATTTTAATACCATTCAGTTTGGTTTAATTGTTTTCTTTGACAGTGCTGGAATAGGAAGAACAGGGTGTTTCATTGCTACTGCGATTGGTTGCCATCAGCTCAGGGAAGAAGGAGCTGTTGACGCATTGAGTATTGTCTGCCAACTGCGTTTGGACAGGTAGGATGATGTAGAATACAAAAACCATTAATATTTGCCATCCAATATTTTAAGTGTCATTATCATTCATGTCATGAACATTGTAATTGTCAAGTTTTTGTAGGATCAAAGAGAAACAAACTAATAATAGAAGCAAGCAACAGTAACAGCAAATAGTTGCATTGTATATAAAATCAATTTAAGGTGTTTGCAAACTCAATTTCCCCTTCATCAACATTTCAGTCCACACCCTTTGTGCCTATTTATAATAAAGTAATTGGCAATGCATCCCTGCAATTCCATCATCGTGTCTGCTTTCATCCTTTGTTAGGGATTTTAGGAGCAAACTCATGAATTCATTTAGCATAATACAAAATGCAAACAAGCACAGAAAGCAACATTATCTGCAGACAAATGGTGGGAGAAGTTGTTCTTTGATCTTTCCAAGCTGGCAGTGCCCCTTTAAATTTGTTCTGTAAATTCTAAAATTGTTCTACTTGACATCCCTTAGATGGGTTATACTATCGTTCCTATCATCCCCAGCCAGGCTATTTGTGTAGTAGCTGTAGCCTGTTAGAAGAATGCCAGGCTGAGAATGACCAGTTTATTCCATAGCTTAAGTGGAATTCCACAATGTGCCTTTAAAAGTATCTGGGCCATGTATTTTACTTTTATGGTCAGATTAAATACAGTTCTGCTGTCAATGCTGGAATGAGTCATGGCTGCAGCATTTCTTCGATGTCAGCTGGTGAGACAGGAAGCCTGCGAGGCATTAGAAAAAGGACAGGAAAACCTGCAGTCTGTACATGTGCTCTAGGACCATAACAGGTCACACATTTAGTGTCAGAATGCAAATTCATGGACATTGGCAGTCACATTCAAATTTTCTTAAACGTTTGAAGATGCACGTTGCTTGTTCTGAATTTTAAATTGGTAAATAGTTCAAGGGCTGGGGCAGCATCTTCTGAAGAAAGGCAAACAAAATAAAAAAATCTGACTGCTGAACTGCATAGCCCAAAATGTATAATTGAAAAGCAGCAGATAGAGCTCTTCCAACTTTGAGCTTTGGATGTATTTTACAAATAAATGCAACATGCAAATGATTCAGATTAGGCTTAGTATCGGTTACTAAAAAATAAAACGTGATGACACCACTACTATAGTTAGTTAACTTTAGCCAAAAAAAAATCAGCTTTTCTTCCTATATAAAGGAATAATGCTCTGTAGTTGGACAATGTGATTGTGGCAAGATTGTATACATTGGCTGTTACATTCCACTGTGTATTATTTGTCAAGGGAATGACATGAGCACAAATATTTAAGTTCTCATTATGTCTTTGTCTGAAAAGAATTTCAGCAGTAATTGTATTCACAATAGATGCCAGAAGTAAGCTATGTTCATCATTTTTTACAGACAAAAACCTGGACAACTGTTTCATGAAATGTTGGGGTTATAATTTAGTCTAGTTTCTTTTGTTTTCAACAGCAAGTACAACAGCGTTAATTGTGATGGCAGCCTGGTCACCATTTTGCATCTTCCTCAATACTTAGGCCCAAACATCATTTGGAAGTGTAGTGAGGAAAAATGGTGGCTGCCAAATGTCCAGACATTGCCCAGTGCTGCAGAATACTCCAGGTGGAGACTATTCGGGGGGAAAGGAATTAGAAACTCTTTTGTAGGAAAAATTTCTTTTTGTTGTTGTTATTGGAAATAGTGTTCTGAATTTTTTTTCCACTCAGCTGCAACTGTAACTGCATCAGCTGGGCTGCAGACATAGCAATGAGTGCAAAGAACTGAAAATGGTCCCAGAAATAGATGACATTTTCCTGTCACATTTCTGGCACATTTCTGTCATTCTGATTTTGAGGCATGGCAGGGGGAGTTGGATGGTATTTCAAATGATACAATCCCCTGCTAAACTAAATTGGAAATACAGTATGATTAAGCACAGCACAAACAGACTATTTAATTGTGTTGTTTATGTATTAATTTTGTATACTGCCCATTTCACAACTGAAGTGGCACTGCTTACAAAAGGTTAAAAAGATAAATATAAAAACCATTACAATTCATAAAAATTAAATATAAACTAAAAACCAAGAAGATGGATGACACAAGGCTTTAGAGGGGGAAATGCTTTGTATCATCAGTGAGACTTTACCTTTTTATTTTGCTTTGCTTTCTTTTGCTTTTCAGAGGTGGAATGGTCCAAACAAGTGAACAGTATGAATTTGTTCATCATGCGTTGAATCTGTATGAAAGCAGGCTCTCCGCTGAAGCCGTCCAATGAAACCAAGATGGAAAAAATAAACAGGTCACTCTTTTTGAGGTAATTTATTTAATTACCTTCCAGCAACTTCTTCAAGGAGTTGTCAGCTGTAGAAGGAGAAGCAGAGCATTCAACCTGTCAAAGGAATGTGGATCATTTAAAACAAAAAACAAAAAGCATTGAAGATTGATGGACTCTTGTCTTGAATGTATTGTGAGTTCCTGAAACAGTTTTAATGAAGGTTAATATGCTGATGTTACATTGAATTTTTCGCACATATACACACACGTATGTGTGCATATATTAAGGAAGATTTATTTCTGTATTAATAGAATATGAAACACTGACCGTATGTATGTATGTACGTATAACAACTGGATGTGGGAAATTTCATGGAAGATATGTGTATACATGCTTCAATGTTTGCAAAGCCTGTCTTGTGAATACCCAGTCAGATATTCATTTGTACCTGTTAAGTACTACTCCCTATTATGTGGTAAACTTAATTTGGAGCTCCTTGGATTCTTGATTGTAAAAACTGCAAAGGGATAGTTATGAGCAGTAATATCCACAGCATCCTACAGAGAAAAAAATAAATAAATTTGTGGGTTTTTAAATGAATAAAAATCAATAACTATTTTATATGATGACCCTAGTAAATACTCATAAATATTCACTGCAGACAGTGAATTCTGTAAAACATTAGGGAACACAATGGGTAGAACACAAGGACCATTTCCTGTGCAAAACCTATGAGAAAAGATGAAGTTTTTTTTTTAAAGGAATGCATTTTAGTGAAGATTTCTGGGTTCTTTTGAACTTCCATCTAATTTCAGTGGAGCTAAGTCAAGAGAAATTCCTAATAAGTCACATCCAATCTCATTTTGCAAAGTTATGCATTTGTTCAATACCATCTACTGGGTTAAAAACTTTTTGCTCCAGGACAGAATTCTGTGCATGTATAACTCATTCAAGCCATTTTACAAACAAATAGAAAAGGATCTTTGTAATATATATTTATATGGTAATTTTTTAAATATTTCTTTGTCTTTTAATTTTGAACAAGTTGTAAACCTTCTACTCACATGCGCGATTGAATGCTTGAAGAAACAAAATCTTGAAAGCCTAATTAAACATAAGGCTTCTTTATTTTTTTTACTTGCCTATTTGTTACTGGCATATAGCTGGCATTCCACCTTCAACAAACTCAAGGGTTTTCAGCGCACAATTTATTCATAGGTTTCCAAAGCAAATGATGTTACCTTTGCTTCATATAGTCAATAAACTGCATATAAAGATGCTTGTAATTTTTAAATTTTTGTTTCAGTCATTATCATCATTATTGCTACTTTTCTGTTGAAGTATTCAGTGATACAATATTCTGCCTGAGAACATTTCTCCAAGGTCTGTAAATGACTTCCCACTATTCTATCTGGGTAATCAAAAGTAATGTGTAAGAAACCTTTCTGTTCCTATAATCTAATGAACTAGTAGTAGTTCATTACTTTCCTTATTACCAGCAACAGAGAAGCAGATAAGGTTCGAAGGTCAAGCCACGCACAGACTAAGAAAAGAGCTACTGCTATTGAACTCTATTAGAAGTACTACTGGTGACTCCATAACTCCTCTACTTTACTACTTCTACAAACTGCTGATTCCAAACTAATCCAGATTAAAGCAATCAGAATTCTACTTCCTGGATGATACCACAGGAACATTTCTAGACAGGAAGACTAAAAGTGACATACTTGTCTGTAACCCAGTGAAAAATCCGTCTGATTTCCAAAGCAACATATATATTACAAGAGTAGCGCAGTAGCTCAGCAGTTAAGATACTGGGCTTGTCAGCTGGAAAGCTGGCAGCCCAGTTCAAGACCCAAGCACCATATGATGGAGTGAGCTCCTGTCCTTGCCCTACATCCTGACAAACTTGCAGTTCAAAAGCATGCAAATGTGAGTAGATAAATAGGTACCACTTTGGTGAGAAGGTAACAGTGCACCATGACATCATGCTGTCCACATGACTACAGAAATGTCTTTGGACACCACTGGTTCAATGACCTTGACAGGGATAAGTGTCCTGCCCTCTATTGTCAGCAATGACTACTGGAGTAAAATCTGCAGAGACTCCTTTATCTTTTTTTTACCTATGTATTACAAAGCTGAAGCTCCAGAGTTCACAATTCTTGAACTGTGCCACCTTTTTCAGCAATAGCACAATGGAACTAATCAAAATGAGGTACATATAAGAAAATCATCCTTCAGAGCCAGGCTTATTATTTCATGCTTTCTTCCTCGCCTCAAAAAAGTGTGCATCAAAACCAGTCAAAAGGTATTAATTTCGTTCACAACCATTGTTGTTTGATAGAGAAAAATGAATGAAGTGACAGCAAGTTACAACAATAAAAAAATGATGACATGAAGACATGTGAATGCAGCAAGTTAGCACTCAGGGCTGAAATACTCAATTGAATTCATAATGAAGAGACCCAAAGAACATGCTCTTCTTCCTTGTAGGATACAGATAAATCCTATATGGCATCTAAATATATAATGTTTCTAGATTTATACATAACATATCATTACAAAAATCTGGTGGTATTTACAGGACAACACGATATATATTTACACACAAGAACACCTGCAGACAGGCAATTAAGCCAAATTACAGCTCCTCGTCCTTAGCTGAGATCTGCTTTAAATGCTCTGTTTTGCTTGTGTTTTCCTAAATATAAGAGACAGGACAATAAAGAACTATATGAAAATTCAAAGTGATGTAAAACTCCCCCAGAAAACAATTGAATAGAAGGAAATGTTCGTCACTGACTTTTCCTCTTGTGAAACCACATTTCCTTCCTAGCCTTCACTTCACTTATCTGGACTATGCTTGAAAAAAAAAGTGAAGAGAAAGAAAGAAGCAATGGTTGTTGTTAGAGGGAAAATGGGGGCTTTGCTTCATGTTCTAATTTCTACTTCCCTGACCTTTGCAATCTCTGGTAAGTATGACTACAATTTTTCTGTTTCTTTATTTTTCTGGCTGCGATTTCCAGGGGTTACTAGGAGTTTCCACAAGGTTTGTGAAATAGAATAATTAATTTCTAAGCTTTGGTTTATACAACAGAAAGAGAGGGATGGACCATGGAAGCCCATAACTATTTAGATTTTATTCAGAAAGAAAACTAAGTTTGTTTTTTAAAAATTACCTTAAATGTGAGAAATCTGAGATGCTGTCCTGTTTGTCCAATTTTCTGTATTTTCTGAAAGTTATAGTATCACATGCTTATCAAAATATATTATATAGAATATTCTATAAAAATAGAAATGAATAGCAGGAACAAATTGTAACTGGGCATATTATTTCAGGTCATTGATCTATTTAATTGGTACCTTTTTAATGAATATTTGGCAGAAAGAAATAGAACAATTATTATATCATGGTACTATAGTTAGGATTGACTAGATTTTATCTTGGTGAATTTATTTTTTAATTTAACAATTGTGCCTTTGAAATAGGATAGGAAAAGGGGTGTTTAGGAATTGTATTTACAATTAAGAGCATTACAGCCAAGTCAGTATTATGAAAATATATATATTACTAAATAAGTAGAAACAAATATGTGGCCCATAAGGATTAGCAATATATCTGACAGCCATTGCCAGTGAATACTGTGCTACTACAAAATGTGTTAATCTCATCATGTGAATCTACTCTAACTCTGGCTACTCAGTTTTGTAAGGTTTTTGTCGTTTCAGAAAAAGTAAAGGCTGAAATTGACTAAATCTTTATCATTATACATAAAATTGACATTTTGTCCGAACTACTTTGATATACATACATACATACATACATACATACATACATACATACATACATACATACATACAAATATAAATACATATACATATACATATACATATACATACATACATACATACATACATACATACATACATATATATATATATGAATTATTTATATATTAGCATGATAGAAGTGATGACAAAATGAATGAGTTTTAATTTGTGTTTTTGTTATTGTCCTTATTGTACGAATAGTAACTGATGCTCTACTCTGCTACTATGGATTCTTTGTCTCCTTTTTTTAGATAGTTTTCTGATTATCCATGAGCAAAAAGAGCAGTGTATTTATGAAAGTCATAAAATAGCCTATGTGGGAATGTGCAACTTGACCAATAATAATCAGCAGTGGAACTGGTTGCAAGAAGACAAGCTTCTCCATCTTAGAACTGGCCAATGTCTGGCCATCACCAGGTCCAAGGTTGCACATTCCGGCAAAGTGATTATTGCCAACTGCTCTGAGGCTCCTAGCTGGACTTGTTACAGCAGTGAAGGCCTCCTGGAGGTGAAAAACAGCTCTCTCTTCCTGGAGAAACGAAGTTCAAGAGTAGTTGTGAAGAAGGGCAGAAAATATCCCCATAGTTGGAAAAAGCTTGATGTCAATGAGAAAGGAGAGACCATCCATGAAAATCTTTGTTCAAAGATTGGTAAGCAGTTTGTTTGAATGTTTCCTGTCAACTATAAGCACTGGCTGATTTTGAAAGTACAATGACATTTAACTCATAGGTGAAAAATTATTTAGAAGCATTTTAAAAGCTCTTTGAAATAGTTCAACTGTAATGTTTTAAGAATAGTGTTAAGAAATGCCTTCTTAATTATATATGCATATTAGTTATCTTTCTCCGTGCTTTTTCGGTAGCTTTTCATGGCCGTTGTTAAGGATGGTGAACACAAAGATGCATTTCCCTCACAGAAATGAACAGGCCAAGATTAGCAAGGCTTTAAATACATGCTCATGCCACTAGTGTGGGGGGAAAGGGAAGTTGTCTGTTTGCCTGTTGAAATTATACAGCTTAACGTTTCTAATACAAAACCAATCATACTGATAAAAAGAAAAAAAACATGGAACAGTATGCGTACTCCAATATGGTGGATAAAAAAAGCAACAGATGAGAAACACTATTTCCCTGAATGTATGACTGGAATAAACTTTGAATTACAGAAT